CCTATGTTGGGATTACGGGACTCAGAGAAAATGGGTGGTGTCCTTGATGAAACTTTCCTTTTAGTAATCATAGCCAATAACAAACAGTTCAACGTCTCCTAGATATTTTTTAACAGCGACAGTTCCCACGACATAACGTACTTGTATATGTTTGAAACTATGAACCTCAAAAAGGGAAACTTGTGGTCGTAAGAAGAAAAAGATTTGTATGCATTTAAGGAGACGACCACCCGTCCATGGGGGATACGTGGAGCTGGCGATATCAATAGGCGACGAGAAGAATGTCTAGGATGTCAACTCACAATTCCTTGTCCTTCATTGTAGAAACGTCTATAACTCCATCCTAGGATGACCATTCACTGCCAGGATGGATGTAGTAACCTCTCTGCTACATCTCAAACTTAAATATCATAACCTACAGGGAGAACTGACCATCATCAACATTGATATCAAAGGCGCATAAAGAATCTACCAAGCACTTCAACGAGACTATGTAGAGGGCATGACCATAGAAATCAATGTTGCATCCCTGATTAGCCAGCTCCGAGACATGAATGTCTTCCCACCAAGACGTGGCTGAACCATAAGGAAGCAAGCATGGAATATAATCATTGGTGGGCCGTCTAATTTTGTTTTCTTTTATGTTCTGTACTGAATGATATTCTTCTATAGTCTATCTCTTCATATACGAGGGTTATCTTAAATTATGATTTAAATATGCCAATTTCTAAAATGTTTGTTTGTTTCTGGCTATGAATATTAACAATAAATCCGGGGTGCATCCAACGATATCTACGCCCGACATAAAGAAATCAGGGGTGCTATCAGAGATTCTTTACACATCAGGCTAAAGAAATAAATTCTCCCGCAACGCAAAGCACGCCTAAATTCAAGAGTGCTACTAGAGACGCTTCACACGAATGACTAAAGTAATCAATTACCAACCTAAAGTTAGGGGTGCTGCTAGAGACGTTTTGCACGTTCAACTAAAGCAATCAATTCCCCACCTAAATTCAGAGGTGCTGCTGAAGACCCTTTGCATGTCCGACTAAAGCAATCGATTTTCCACCTAAAGTTGTGGGTGCTTTCAGATATTTTTTGCATGTCTGACTCAACAATTAATCCCCAACAGACAATAACGGTCCAACCCCTTTAGAAGATAGCCACTAGAGGCTGTAGCGAGTTTTCCACATATCTACCTCTGATCGAGTTTTCATTTGGTAGAAGGAAGGAGAATCGACCCTTGGTCGGGAATGGCTTCAGTGACGTGTAATAAACTTTGAGGGAATACCTTGTAAGATCACGATGAATTTAAAGCCTTGTACTCAGGATCATACAAATATACATCTAAAGCCCTCACACTCATGATCACACTAATACACCTTAAATAGGTGAAATTTAATTTCATTCCAAAAATGACAATATATATATACACATATATCCTCCCATTACATCAATATTACATATGAAGTGCATAAAGAAAAAAAAAGTGGCTGACAAAGTTACTTATGTAGAGAAACGATCTTTCCATCTTTGAGCATTTGATCTGCCTGAATTTTCTCCCTCGAGACAACCAAAGGTTGGTGAAATTTCCCCACTTACTGCAAAGCATTCTCAAACAACTACAAACTACCCCAAGAGTAGCGCTCATACTGTCGGCCAACTATTGAGTTAGAGAAGTGTTTTGAAGTTACAAAGACTATAATTCCTCCCTAGCATATGAAAAATTTCCCCGTATAGAAGTTAGAGTATGGTTCTTCTTTGCCACAGTCCTCCTTAGATAGGTCACTTGGTCGGATATCGACTCAGCAAGATTAAGGGGAAACAAGGAATCCTTTACCCCAGTAAGACAAGCAGAAGCTTTCTCTATTTCTTACAGACACTTATCTCATTGATGCTTCAGATAACGTTTGTTCTCCTTTATCTATTGCTTCTTAGCATGATGCTGGTTGGACCAAAGAGCTTCTCAAAGGCGAGATCCTCCAAGGGTCAAAAAAGTATGAGCATGTCAGTTATATCGAGTCAGAGTAGCCAAATCTTCCTCCAGGGAAGACTCAGACAAATTGGCCAGATATTTGCAATCCTCTTACAAAGGAGGGGTTCGTCGATCTCTAGAGGAACAAGAGCTCAACCCCTTCAACAATGGGCAGGTTAGAAGACTTGGCATATTTGGCAGCATCAAAAGCGTATTCAAAGCAACTTCACTCCCTGCTAGCCATATTCCATGTTTCATGAGGCATATATTTACTTCATCCTTCATATGATTTGCACACCATCATTATAAAAAAATGCATCATGAACATGCATGTTAAGGACAAAAATGCAAAGAGTCTCTAGATCTTACAGAAAATGACTTTTCTTTCAACCATGGAATGAGCCTCCATCATAAATTGGACATTAATGAGGTCTTATAAGCATTTCCAATCAACCTCATCCATAGGGGTACCACCCCAAAAGTATTTCGGGTTACTGATAAATCTCATTAACCATTCTTCTGGTACAAATCTTATGTCGTGAGATCATTCTCGTTGTATACGTATATATTGTTGCCCGTGAGAAAGTGGATTTTAATCCAGAACTTGGGAAATAGCTTGGTGCATCTTCCCTCCACTAAATGCCCAACGATGCAAAACATATAATGAGCTTCAGGGCCGATAGGAATTATTAGAAATAACTGATCCTCAAAATTCTGTAACTCAGGAAGACGCCTAAAGCTACTCACATTTGGCTCCAATTAAATAAACCATTTGTTATGCCCCCGAGCCACAAAAATGCGAAAAAATTTAAAAAGATGAAATGAAAGGGTCACAAAAGGCTTTCCTTTCAGATACTCATATAAATAGTGGTAAACCTTCACATATGCCCATCTTGTAGGATGAAGTTGGGAATGAGATATCATCAGATGCTTCAAAACTTCTATCTCTAAGATAGTGAAGGGTAGGCGAGGGCCTTGGACGGAGAAAGTGAACTTGTAAAAGGGAGTGGCACAATCTCCATACTTATTGTATATCCTTTCATCCTCGGTAGGTGTTAAGACTCCCTAGTAAGAAGATATACCAACTTCGATAAAAACGCCATGAAAATTGTCTACTTTAGCGAAAATAGAAACAATAGAAGATTAATCAAAATCCACCAAAAAAATGAAGCATTCTTCTGGGATTTGTGAGCATTCTTCTGTGATTTCTTATCCATTATGCGCTAACTTTTTAGATACAAGTAAGCGAAACCCCAAAGAGGAAGATAACCTCTAAAGTGGGAAAAAATGCAAATAAAATATCACTGACTCTTTAATGACTATATTCTAGCATAAAAAAGGAAATACATCATATCAAACGTGTCAAATAGCTCGCACACAACACTCAAGTGTTTCATTTCTCAATAGTTGTAATGTGACACTTTTGAAAAGACGTTTGAAGTATGGAGCATTAAATGCACGAATGCTCAGAGAACCGAAACATATTCTTTTTATCTTCCGAACATAAAGGAAAGAGACGTCATAGACACAAGTTTAAACACTAAACCAGAATTCTTTCGACCTTACCGAGCATAGGCACGAGCTTAGGGGGCAATTATTTTGGGTCGGTTGTATCGACCCCGACCAACCTCACTGAAGGAACAATAATCCTTTCAGAATCCTCTTAGTACACGAGAACTCTGCTCATGACGCTAACAAAAATCTCAACTGTAAGAGTATCAAATAGCTCTCGCAATTCGCTCCTAACTAAAAGCAAGTTTGTTATTCTCTTTCTACTATATATAGAGAAGACGCCAATTCAGGTAACAAGTTTTAAACAAAATTTCAACTCACTCTTCTTCCTCACTCATATATTTACTTGAGCGTTGGAGTGATAATTTTACAGACCCCATCCACCGCGTCAAAAGCTCAAATCGGCTATCACTTTCTATCATCACTCCATTTATGGTTTCAAAACATGAAAAATACTCATAATTATCTTATTGGTAAACAAATTATACAATTTAAATGCTTTTGACTTATTACTCACCCTAGCAAAACACATCTTATCCTTTTCTCACACTTAAGAGGAAATATATAATTAGATGAACTCACACTTCAGGAAAAATTATCATTATACAAATGTGAGTTAGAAAGTCGTTGAAAAAATGTGCATTAAACAACATATAAGTAAGAGATGTCATATTTTCACCTTAAACCTTAACAAATTAGATTTATAGGTCCTCTCACATATATATTGTTCAAATTACACTTTTCCAAAACAATGTAAAACTCTTAACTCATAATTGTATCATGCCAACCTCTCACTCAAATCTCAAATGCGAGTCTATTCATTTATATATTCCTCATATAATGAAAAGTGTTTTCTCATCCACACACAGTTACTTGTACTTACACTTGTTCGATTGTTAACACATGTTAAAGTAAAAGAGTTCAAATATCATTCTCATTATAGAGCTGGCCTTATCTAGGTCCAATTGATAATATTTAAGACAAACAACAATGTTTAAGGTAGTAATATTTAATGGAATGACTCTCATTTTCAAGTCTCTTAACTTATCAATATCTTAATTCAAGGCAGAGAACAATGTTTTATATTCTCTAACAATAGAATTGAGAGACCAAGTATTAAGACTTAACTATAGCGTTGGAGGCACACTCCATACAAAAACATAGAGAACGACAAGAACTAATGTATAACCTTCAACAAGATAGTTTTAGATTATTCTAACATAAAGCTTAACTAATCTAGTTTTTTCAATAATAAAAAACTAAAGATTTTAATATCTTCATACATGTGTGTTTCTAATAACTCAAGTTGGTTACTCATTCTTCACCCAAACATACATCATACATGCATGCTAAAATCTATAAAAATTGACAAAATTTCTCATAGCCTTAAATCTAATCATCATTAACTTGTCCTTAATTAGTTTACAATAAAAAATTACTACAAAATTCTAAAAAGAATGAATGTGTTTATCATTTAAACCTCAATGTAAAATATAAAAAAATGTAACCCTCATCAAACTAATGAATTAGAACACTCTTTTATGTCACATGAACTCACAAGACCTTTCTCTTGTTCTTGTTCTTCGCTCGAATCGGACGATGTCAGATCCTTCGCCCTTTCTACTTGATTTTCCCAATTGGTACGAAACAAAACAAACAACATTGTCACCATACAAGAACCTTGAGCAGCCAAAAGACCAAACCATAAACCTTTGAAATCAAATCCAGCAACAAAACTCAACCAAACCGCGACAGGCATTCCCACGAGATAAAAACATCCTAAATTAATATTGGCGCCCAACTTCGGCCGAGCAGTCCCTCGCAAAACGCCACAAACGGTTGTTTGTGGACAGTTTCCGAGCTCGCAAAGTCCTATGATAGGTAACACCATTGAAGTTAATGCAATGATTTGTGGATCGTTTGTGAACATGGAAGCCCAAATGTTTCGAACCGAAAATGCAAACAACAGAGCTGAGAAACCCAAAACATAACTAAAACAGAGTCCTACTATGGCTGCAAGTTTTGCTTTCTGTGGATTTTCAGCACCAAGTTCATTACCAACTCTTGTGGAAACGCCGAAACTCAATGAAGAAGGAAAAATGTATATTAATGCAGTTGTTTGAATCAAAACACCCATAGATGCAACAGTTGCATGTGGATTAATCAATAAACCGCAGATTAAAATCATGATCTCGTACCACCACCATTCGAGACAAACTGAAATGCAGCTCGGAATTGCTAAATTCAAAAGCGATTTCCATCCTTTGAAACATGAATATGAAAAGCCATTCCATGTCTTGTTGTGTGTTCCAGAAACCCAAATGTAAATAATCAAGGAAGCAACGAGGTTGAAGTTGGTCCAAACGGAACCTATCGCGATTCCTTTGATTCCTAAGTTGAGGACAGAAACAAGAAAATAGTTTATAGGAAGATGAAGAAGAATGGAGAGAGTAGCACTGTATGTTAAAGGAAGTGTTATAGATTGACTTCGAAGATAGATTCTCAAAGGGTGTAGCAGCGATTGTGCTACGAGATCAGGAAGAGAATAAAGAATGTAGGATTGCGCAACGTTTGCTATATCTTCTTGTTGGCCACATAAAAGCAGAATTCTTTTCATGTTAAGCCACAAGAATGAAATGAAAGTTGATGTTACAAGAAGAAGAATCATTGTTCTTTGCATTGTAAGACCAAGGAGTTTGAATCTTTTAGCACCAAAAGCTTGACCGCATATAGGCTCCATTCCCATGGCAAGACCAGAGAGAATGGAGTAACCGGTTATGTTGGCGAACCCTATAGCAAGTGATCCACCTGCTAAAGCGAGTTCGCCAACACGGCCGAGAAATAACATTGAAATGATGGAACGAGAGTACATTAATAAGCCTGTTAAAACCATAGGTAACGCTATGTTTGCAATGTGTTTGGCTTCATTGATGGCAAGAGAAAAGTGGGTTTTTTTTGTGTGGGTTTCTTGTTGTTTGAATGTTGGGGATTTAGGGATCAATGGTGTAAACATGTCAGGTTTCTTGAGTTTGGTTGTGGATATGTTTGTTTGGTTGTTATTAGTTTCATACAAAGTGGAGACAGAAGAGCTTGATGATGATAACTGGCACATGGTGTGAATAGCATATAAAAACACAACAAAGGACAGAGAAGGAGTTTTGTGTTCTTTTGTTTTAAAACACAAACAAAAATCTTGTGAGCTTTTGTTCTTGCACTTTGTAATAGGAGTAAGAGTTTTGTACTAAAGAGAGGTATTTAAAAGATCTAAAACCCATCACACAAACACGCGCAACAACTGCATAGATTAATCAGACAGACCCAATTAAAAAAAGACCAATACTAATCTGATAAATTTTTTGTTTTGACACTTTATATTTAAAAAAAAATCAAAATTTTATGTTCACAGTTGTAGCGACTAATTTTAATCGGATCGGATCGAATCAGATCGGACCCGATAGTAATATTTGGATGTATATGGATAATGGAGTACAAAGGACGGCCAGTGAAATAGAGAGAGAAAGATAGGGTTGACAGAGTAATAGTATCACCTCATCTCACAACATGTTTTTTTTTTTCAATTTCAAAGCTGTTTTTTATGACCGACCCATATGTTGTTAAATTGGGTCCACTAAAAAAACAAAACAAGATTTTATAAATATATATTATATATGAAAGTGCAATGGAATTGGACATAATATATACTCTATGACTTAGTAATAAGAATTTTATGAACATGATTCAACTATTTGAAGTTAAAAAAGTGTATTGAATAAATAATTAAAAGCTGTAGTTACTATTGTGGAACGTTGAATAATGAATGTAAGTTGTAACCTTAAAATTGCTTTAATTAAATAATTAATTAAAAAAGGTGAAACTGTCTATAGTATAGCATGAAGAACGTGTGGGTTTGGTGTATCCGAATCAAGAGGCAGAAATTGAGTTTACACGACAGTTTTTAGTATTTTTGGCAGCTTGACTTACTGTTGTTAAGTTGAGTTTTGGGTTTTTTATGGTTGAAATTTATGTGGAATCAATGGCTTGTCGGAATTAATTAATTTGATGATGCAATAGAATTTGAATCCTTGTTGTTTTTGATTTGGTAACAAAATGGACATTGTTTTTTAATCTTAGCCGGTTAAGTTTGATTTTAGGAAAAAACTAGGATTTTGTTTCAATGTTAGACAAATAATATTATTATGTTGGACAGTTTAATAAGCATAAGCATTCATGTCCCTTTTCACAAGAACCTGGTTTTAAATTCCTTTGATGATGTTAGTAAAAATTTCTGGTCGATAATACAAAAATAGTTTTATAATTTTTTTTGTTGAAATGTTTTTTCATAGCTAGATAAAGTCACAATAATCTGTATAACATCTAAATAACTAAAAAGTTTCATTCTGTACAAATATAAAAATTATGAAGTTTCAAATTTGAATCTAATTGATAAAATATTTTTTAGAATTATTCTTTATTTTATTGATTTTAACTTTTTAATCTCTTAATTTAAAATTTTGTTTTGGATTAATTCACAATCTTTGAAAATTCTTTTAGTCCTTCATTTTTACACATATAACTTTTTATTTATTTATTATGTGGTACTGTAGAGGGAAAAAAATGGCTGCACAATATTAATTAATTGAATAATATTTTTAAAACTAAATTAATTATAATTCATATTTTAAATTAGTTTTAATTTTTCAAACCTAAAATGATTTTTAGTTCGCCTCTTCTTTCTCCTTTCTATGAATCCTAATTTTTATGAAAGCTCATCCCTACCATAATCAATATTAATCTTTGGAGTATTCGAAACTCATCCCTCAATCGTCTATTCTTTTGTTTGTTTTCTTGGTTCTCATGACCTTTGAAGTAATATAAGCTTACACAAAGCTTAGTTTGTCAATTATTTAAAAATGAAGAAATTGTCTTCCTTTTGGGATAGTAATGAAGAAGTGAGTATTGTGTCATATATGTATTCTTGTTTCTCTTCTTGTTTGTTTATTATGTGACCCCACTTCTTGTTTGTATATTATCTGGTCCTACTTGTTTCATGGTGTATGTAGTTGTTTATGTTTTCTTGTGCTCCCACTTGTTTTCTTGTCTAATAGTTGCATTGTGATCCGAACGTTATTAAGTAAGTCATTTTGTTTTAATTGTTTACTAGGACAGTTCAAAGTCAAAAGATTAAGAACTATAGTAATAAAATTTAATCCTGAAGTAATCGAAGCTCGTCCCTCAATTGTCCATTGTTTTGTTTGTTTTCTTGGTTCTCACGACCTTTGAAGTAATCGAAGCTTACACAAAGCTTAGTTTGCCAATTCTTCAAAAATGAAGAAACCGCCTTCACTGTGTGATAGTAGTGAAAAAGTGAGTATTGTGTCAGGTATGTATTCTTGTGTGTTTATTATGTGGTCCCTCTTCTTGTTTGTTTATTGTCAGGTCATTCATGTTTCATGGTGCATGTAGTTGTTTATGTTTTCTTGTGGTCCCACTTGTTTTCTTGTCAAATAGTTGCGTTGAGTCCGAATACTATTAACTAAGTCATTTTATTTTTTAATTGTCTCTCAAGCCAGTACAAAGTCAAAATATTAGGTTAAAGATACATCATATGGGGAAATAGTTGAGACACATGTTAAATGGTATGTTAATGAGGAGGTGTCTGAAATGAATTGAAAGTGAAATGTTGATTATGTCATGTATACAATGTGTTAAATCCAATGGTAATCATGTGTTTGAGAGTATCTAGATCTGTTTAAAGGCTTGTGAGGCTACATTTTCACAGACATGTAGGCCTCTCATTGGTTTATATGCTTGTTTTTTGAAAGGAGACTATGATGGAAAAGTAATGTTTGTAGAGGTAGGGATTGAAATAATCAAATATTTCCAGTAGCATATGTTATTGTAAAAGTTGAGACCAATGACTCGTGGGAATGGTTCTTATACCTTTTCCATGAAGATTTACAAGAATTCAATATGAGATCATATACATTTATCTCGGACAAACCGAATGTATTATTTTAACTGCATTTTTTATTACTGCTGAATTATTTTAAGCGTCTCACTTTATTATTGTGTCTAAGTATACTTACACATGTGGTAGGGGCTGGTTCATGCAGTTTAAGGGATTATTGTTAATTATGTGGAACAAAGATTGTTTGTAACACATCTCTATGGTAATTGGAAGAAGAAGTGCCTTGGATTTGAATTAAAAGAGGTATTATAGATAGTGTGAGACATTGGATCGAACTCTAGTGTGGTCGAAGTCTGTTCGCAAGTAATGCGTGTTGTAGTCGAAGTTTGTTCTAACATGCATGAGTAAATATTGCTAAGGTTGTTAGCATGAGTAAATATTGCTAAGGTTGTTAGCATGAGTAAATATTGCTAGGGTTGTTAGAATGTGCTATTTTATTATAAATAGGATGCTAGTTTCTCAATCTTGGCATAAGGAAAAATAGGAAGATAAAATCCTAATTTCAAGGGAGAGAGGTTATTTTGTTATTCTTGTATACTTGTAATATTGTTCTAAGAGAAAGGAAAGAATAGCAGTTTAATAACCAATCCTTGTTGTTCCTTGTTATTTTACCTTGTCTTCTTTATTAACCCTAACCCTTGTGTGTTTCTTGATAAGAAACCGTTTATACTTTGTTATAAGGTATCCGATTTACAACAAATTGGTGCGGTGAGCGTGGAGAAGATGCCTTCAACAAAGTATGAGATTGAAAAGTTCACCGGAGTGAACGACTTTGGTCTGTGGCGCTTGAAGATGAAAGCCCTATTGGTTCAGCAGGGTTGTTTGGAAGCGTTGAAGGGTGAGGCAGCCATGGACACTGCGTTAACGGCAAAAGAAAAGACGGGCATGATCGAAAAAGCCCACAGCGCAATATTATTGAGCCTTGGTGATAAGGTTCTTCGACAGGTATCAAAGGAGACTACAGCATCGGGATTATGGGTGAAACTTGAAAGTTTGTACATGACCAAATCTCTGGTGAATCGACTATACCTGAAGCAAGCTTTATATTCATTCAAGATGAGTGAAGACAAAGTGTTGGCTGAGCAGTTGGATATGTTCAACAAGCTGATTCTTGATCTTGAAAATATTGATGTGAAGATCGATGATGAAGATCAAGCACTATTGCTGCTGTGTGCTTTGCCCAGAACACATGCTCACTTCAAAGAAACTCTCTTGTATGGAAGGGAGTCCCTGACCTTTGAAGAAGTTCAATCAGCCTTGTATTCTAAGGACTTGAACGAACGAAAGGAGCATAAACCTTCGACGGTGGGCGAAGGTTTGGCCGTTAAGGGAAAATTCTTGCGAAAGGATGGTAAGTTCGACAAGAAAAAAGGTAAAAGTCAACAGAAGTCTTATAGTGGCGAAACATCTAGTATTCGATGTTACCACTGTAAGAAGGAGGGTCACATAAGAAAGCTGTGCCCTGAACGCCTGAAAGATCATGGAGGTAATGGCAATGCAGCCATTGTTCAAGATGACTTCGACTCATCTGATGTTCTTGTGGTTTCAAGTGGCGACTCGAGGAAAGAGTGGATTATGGATTCAGGTTGCACTTGGCACATGACTCCAAACAGAGAATCGTTCGAGGAGCTATGTGATCAAGATGGTGGATCTGTGCTGTTAGGAAACAACAAATCTTGCAAAATTGCAGGTATTGGATCTGTGAGATTCAAGCTCCATGATGAGTCAATAAGGTTATTGACTGAAGTCAAGTACGTACCTGACTTGAAGATAAATTTGATTTCTCTTGGTGAATTCGACAGAAAAGGATATGTTTTTCAAGGAGAGAAAAGTATCCTAAGAGTCATGAAGGGGTCGAAGGAAGTCTTGAGAGGCGTGAAGAAACAAGGCTTGTATACCCTTGAGGCTGAGGTTGTAAGTGGTTCGACAAATGTTGTATCCACGAAATCTATGTCGAAGACAGAATTATGGCACATGAGATTGAGCCATGTCAGCGAAAGAGGCCTGGTCGAATTGGGGAAGCAGAACCTGCTAGGAGGTGACAAAGTCGAAAAGTTGGAATTTTGTGAATCTTGTGTATTTGGTAAATCCTGTAGGGCGAAGTTTAACAAAGGCAAGCAAAGAACACATGGATCCCTGGATTA